TAGGGGCCATGTGTCACTTCCTTTTTGGTTGAGTAAGAGCATGGACTGTAAAAATATGGTGAGTTGTCTCCAAGCGAGCTCAATAGTATAGGTGAGTTACATGGTATTGAGTGCGAATAAGCAAGTCTAAGAGCGTGTAGCGAGTAGGGAGAACTTAGTAAATGGGCGTCAACCTAGGACTATGAGAAACTTGTGTTGAGCCTTACATTACCTTACGAGAAAAGGCAAGTGAGTTGAAGTGGCCTCGAAGATGTGCTCAATTATCAGCTATGGTAGGGTGAGTGGATGGCCCTCTAGGTAGGCGCTTCCTTATAGCTAGTCTTGGAGGTATGTGGTGAAGAATCACCCTTGGGTTAGGGAGATTTGTTGTGATATTTTCCTTCCTTTTGTGTGGTGGACATTAGGGTTGGATCAGAGATGTCCTCGGGTGCCCTTAGAGGGGAAATCTTCCTTCGAGGCCCAGGCTAATGGGCCAAATATTCATTGGGCAAGTTCCTCTATAAGGGCCCACTATATGTGAATCCTCTTTATGTATCCTTCCAAATTTCTTAAGTACTTAAAAGGCATATGCAAGTATATATACTTGATTTTCACAAAAACTAAATTTCACTTGACAATTTAAATGAAGCATCAAAATTCATCTTTTGAATCATCTACAATAAGTATACATTTACGTTGAAGGACTATAATAACTTACCATCTCTTTTGGTGTTGGTGGAAAGTGTATACATAATTTAGCACCTCTTTTAGGATATGTAAGTTTAAGGGATAGATCTCACCATCCAAATCTAGGGCCATAGTATCAGATATCATGAAACAAACAACTTCCTTATAACCCTTGACATCACTTAGCACGGTCATTATATTATCCATTTTTTCTCTTCTTTGAGGAAAAATGCTTCCCATCCTTATAACCCTCTATATGGTTCACAGATGAATTCTTTAATGCATTAGGGCTCACTTTATAACCATTTATAGATTTCTAAAATCAAATTGCATAAGGTTTTCCTTCATAAATAGAAAGATATATCTCAAAATGACTTATTGTATTGGGAATATTGAGAATTTTTAATATTTCCTCCTCTCTGATATGGATGTGAATTTGGAAACTCCTTTAGCCTCCCCATCTCTCAGGGAGACCCCACTAATTTCTTAAAAAACTAAGCCAATTCTTAGAGGGGCATGTTTCAAAAAATGCAATCACTTCTTATTCAAACATGAACCATATCATTGATAATCACTTATGAATTTATATATTTTAGATAAATATTTAACATTTAGGGTCACTCCATATTCTCTGAAGAAAATAGTCAAGCCTATAATAATCATTATAGCTCTAAATAAATATTAGAGCAAGTCTACACGAGTCATGAAGATCACAAGCAATTTGGGAGGTAGAGAGAGAACATCAACCTTACATGTGACGTCATCTTATTTACCGTGGTGGAGTAACACGGGCCTAGTCATACCTTCTATGTGCAACATGCACCAAGTCATTTGGTAGAGAAACTACATACAAATGATTGTCAAGCCATCAATAGTAATAGTGGATACAACATCAATTGATATCACTCCATTAGATCTTCTCCTATCATCCTATAAAAGCATGTGATGATTATATGATCAAATAAAAGTGAAAATCTAAAAAATAATAATAATCCTTTCTTCTTCAGTACTCAGATCTCTAAATTCAATACTTTAGTTTGGATGATTTTTAAATTATTTATGGGTTCACCATTTGAAGAAACAAGTGAAAAAATGATTTGAAATAGATATTCATAGAATTTTATCGCCATTGTTTGTAAAGTTTATGCCCCAATCAAAAGACAATATTTTGGCAAGAAAAACATTTTAAGAAAACCACACAGGATAATAACTATCTCCTCTAAAATTTTCAAAACTTTGGTAGCTAACAAGATCTCAAAATATTACCAAGCATTTTTTTTTTTAATTCTTGGAAAAGCATCACTTCGCCAGTTATTAATCAAAGCATGTTCATCCATATTTGTGGCTAAACTTTGGCAGGGTAATGGATGTCCTCTTTGGAATTGGAGCACCACTGCGAGATACGACCAGTCTCTAAATTATTGTCTAATAATTTTTCTTTCAATTTATGGAAGAAAATTGGAACATGTGTAAGAGGACCGAGACTTCTCCCTATCCCAAGGGGCAAAATTAATCTTTTAAGTCAAAAAATTGAAATTTTTTCTAGTTTTTAAAATTTAAGAAGGAAGAATTTAAAAAAAAATTCTCTACTAGCACCGCATCATGTAAGAAGCCGTGCATCAACAAAAAAAAGAACTAATGGGTCTAGACACGGCCCCTACAACGCATGTAAGCAAGAAAAAAATCATCCCAAACGAAGCCAAAATGAACCGGCAAAGGCGATGGACCAAAACAACAAAATAGAAACAATAACAAACATTGCACTGGACAAATACAAGCATCATTTGCTTCATAATTTACAAATATTTTTTTTACAAATATATGCACAACATAAAAAAAATGTTATCAAATACAACGTACGCAAGCTCGCCTCCTGCGCTTCTAAGGGAAGAAGAAAAAAATTAAAAAGCATCATTCTGAAGAGATTTAAACGTACTAAACGTAGAATTTGGAGGGGTGCGGTACAATATAGTTATACAGATTGTTTGTGTGACGTTCTGTAACAGAAGGATCAGAATTCTGACTTCAGAAGCTTTATTCTAGGCTTGATTTGAATGTATTCAAACGGCTTTTCCTGTTCCACTTGAATGTAATCCCTTGTTTTCAGGACCTGCAGCAAGGTAAAATGATAAAGAAACATCTAATCGAGAAGATTTTTATTTTCATTTTGTGTATCAAATCTTAGATTTAATATAGGAGGAATTTGACAGTCTAAATTGCAACAACAACAACAAAATTTAAGCGAAGATTAAATTGCGTTGACACAAATCGCAAAAAAGTGCAATTCCTTTGAAATCTACCAAAATTCATGCGAATTGTCATTTAGGAATCCGTATGGAAGTTATGGACGGTACAGCCACTTACTGATTTGAAAATGCAAGGAAAAACAAGATAAACTCAGGAAGATATTTAGTTTAAGAGGAGCAGATGAGGCATACCAAGGTTTCAAAGAACATTCTTGATGCTTCTTTGCGAGTTTTACCAGCTAATAGACGATTTACCACAATGAATTTCCTTCCTTGCCCAGATTCTTCATCGAATAAATTTTGCAGGTATCTAGCAACACCCCTACAAGAAATATTTTTGTACAAATATTAAATTTCATGAGACTACACAGTTTACAGTATTTGATGTTATTCTTTATAACTACAAAACAATAAGCTGCTGATACACTACTGCTAGGTTTGAACGTAAAATCAAACAGCAAGTCAAATTATAGTAACCAATAGATAAAGGCCAACCTTGTGCGAGCAGACCAACCACTGTTCTCCAGTGATTGAACATCCTCAGTATTTGGCACATCATTTTCTACTTCATCAAAGTCTGCATCATCATCGTCTTCATTCAAAAATCCTGGCAGATGTTATAATGAGTGAAATCAGAGGAACCCGTAGCACTTGTGAAGTATCATTTCACCAATGATAGCTAAACAAAAGTATCAAAGGGGTTTTCGACCGGTTTATGAAACTTTTCTTGAATAAATCATCAGTTAAAACATTTGAATTAAAAAATAAAAACTGAAAAGATCATATACTAGACGTTACACCAGGTTTGCTAAACATAAACCATGGCGGTAAATAACATAACTCACACAAGCTGCCATTGTAAAGAAAGCAATACAAAATGACTTATACCAATATGCTGCAATCTGAAATATTGAATGAGACAATGGTAGTAAACTGAAAATAATCATCTACACTGGCATCAAAGAATCCTAAACTTTGAGGTTTTGGCAAGAAAAGTGAAAAAAAAAAACTAGAAATCAAAAACCAATTAGATACCTCTTGAAGAAAGAGTTTTTATTGGATGAGATTTAAATGGACATGTTGGTAGAGAAGTAGATGATTTTAAAAGCATTCATGGTGGCCATGATTTTGGAACGGCAAATGAAGGTGGCAAGACCATATTATATTTTTGTTTAGCTTACGATTTTTCAATTGTTAATATCTTATTTAAGAAAAGGAATGAGCATCTCATCACTTATAAAAATGAATATAGTACAACCCAGATTGACTATTTTCTTATAAGAAAATTAGATCGTTTAGATTGCAAAGATTGTAAAGTATTCTGAGTGAAAATTTATGTACCCAACATCGATTATTAGTTTTGGACCTTAAGATAAACAGACAAAAAATAAAAAATAAAGTAAAACGATATTCTAGGATTAGATGGGGGCATTTAAAGTATATTAACAAAAATATTTTTTGAGAGTAAGATTTTACATCTTAAGATTTTATCTGTGCATGAGGATGCTAATGTTATGTGGGAAAAAATAACTAGTGATATTAAGAATATTGCAAAAGATGTGCTTGAAATATCAAAGGGAAAAGCTCGTACTAGTAAAAATAGTTGGTGGTGGAATCCAAATGTGTAAGAAAATATTAAAATAAAAAAAATTTGTCATAAAAATTGATTTAATTTTAAAAATTCTGATAAATGGAAAAAATATAAAGAGGCTCGTAAGGAATCTAAGAAAGCAATATGCGATGCAAAAACCTTAGTTTTTAGTGATTTATATAATAGATTAGATACTAAGTCTGGAGAAATATATATGTATAAGTTAGCCAAATAAAGAGATAGGATCAGTAAGGATTTAGTTCAAGTGAAGTGTATTAAGGATGAAGATCAAAAAATACTTTTCTTATAAGATGATATTCAATAAAAGTGGATGAGATATTTTGCTAAACTTTTTAGTGAAAATTGTGAAAATAAGATTGACTATAGTGACCTTAGCACCCTAAATGATAATAAAGATTTCTATTTTTATCAGCGTATTAGTAAAACCGAAGTTAGAGAGGCTTCAAAGAAAATGAATGGTGGAAAAATTGTTGGACCTGATGATATTCCAATAGAAGTGCGGAAATGCTTAGGAGATGAAGGGATTTCTTGGCTTACTAAACTTTTTAATACTATTTTGAAGATTAAAAAGATGACAGATGAGTGGAGAATGAGTGTGTTAATTCCTATTTTTAAGAATAAAGGTGATGCACAAGATTGTGCGAATTATAGAGGAATTAAGTTAATGTGTCATACTTTAAAACTTTGGGAGCGAGTTATGGAGCATAGGTTGCGGCGTGATACTAATGTTTCTCAAAATCAATTTGGATTCATGCCGGGTAGGTCGATTATGGAAGTCATACATTTATTAAGAGATTTGATGGAGAAATATAGAAAAAATAAGGAGGATCTACATATGATATTTATTGATTTAGAAAAAGCATATGATAAAGTTCCAAAAGAAGTGCTATGGAGAGTTTTTGAAAAGAAAGTAGTTAATAATGCTTATATTCAAATCATTAAAGATATATATGCATGAGCTATTACTTGTGTTCAAACACAAGGTGGTTTGACCAAGTATTTTCCTTTTTCGGTTGGGTTACATCAAGGATCAGCCTTAAGCCCATATCTTTTTGCTTTAGTCATGGATGTTCTCACTAGACATTTGCAAGTGAATGTACCTTCGTGTATGCTTTTTGCTGATGATATTCTAATTGTTGATAAGACTAGAGAGGGAGTTGAAAGTAAACTTGAATTATGAAGGTCAACATTAGAGACTAAAGATTTTCGTTTAAGTAGATCTAAAACGGAATATATAGAGTGTAATTTTAGTAGTAACAGACCTAGTGAGGGGATTGTGACTTTGGGCGATCAAGTCATTAATAAGAGTACACGTTTTAGATATCTTAGATCTATTGTTCAGAGTGATTGTGAAATAGATAGGGATATTATCAACAGAATTCAAGTTGGATGGTTGAAGTGGATGAATGCATCGGTTTGTTGTGTGATAGGAAAAGTACTCCTCAAACTTAAGGGAAAATTCTATAAGATGGTAGTGAGGCCTGCAATGCTTTATGGTGCTAAATGTTGGCCATTAAAAGAGAAGCATAATACTAAGTTAAGTGTGGCAGAGATGAGGATGCTCAGGTGGATGAGTGGCTTTACCCTAAGAGATGGGATACGAAATGAGCATATACGTGAAAAGGTTGCAGTAGCTCCAGTAGAAGATAGAAGATAAGATTAGAGAGAGTCGCCATAGATGGTTTGGTCAAACGGCGGCCTTCCAATAACCCGGTTAGGAGAGTAGAGGTATTAGATTTGACTTATGTTAAGAAAGATAGAGGCAGACCTAAAAAGACTTGGTTAGAAAATATTAGGAATGACCTTTCTTTATTAGATTAAACGAGAATTTAACCTTTAATAGAACACAATGGAGAAAAATGATTCATGTAGCCCACCCCCACCTAGTGGGATAAAGGCTTGATAAAGATTAAACGAGAATTAAACCTTTAATAGAACACAATGGAGAAAAAGGATTCATGTAGCCCACCCCCACCTAGTGGGATAAAGGCTTGATGTTGTTGTTGTTGTTGTATGGTTGTGAGAACTTCAATGCCTTAATAGTGTAGAATGTTAACAAAAAATAGAGAAGTATAAAATTAAGTCAATTGTTGCATAAATGAGGATGCTCAAGTGGATGGGTGACTTTAAACTTAAAGACAGAATGCAAACGAGTATATTCGTGAAAAACTTGGACTAGCTCCAATGGAAGATAAGATTAGAGAGAGTAGCCTTAGACGGTTTGGTCACATAAAACGTTGGCATTCTGATGACTATATGAGCAGAGTAGATGTATTACATCCGGCCTACATTAAGAAACATAGAGGTAGGCCTAAAAAGACTTAATTAGAAAGTATTAAAAATTAATCTTTTTATTAAATTTAAATGAGAATTTGATAGTTAATATGACATAATGAAGAAAAAATATTCATATACTGACCCTACATAGTGGTATAAAGACATGATGTTATTACTTTTGTTATATCAAACTCCATAAGCTACCATTAATAATTATTTTCTATCTATAAGTTTTAGTTTAGTTTTTTTATGACAAATCAATCCTTATTATTTTGTTAAGTTTCAATTTCAATAATTTCAAAAGAATTGATATTTTTTTATACTCAGCCTTACTTTGGATAACTTGTTGAAATTTTATAATTAAATGACAACTTACAAAGAAAATTAGATAATTTCACTTGGTCAATAGCTTTCTAGTTCAACTTAGTAGGATTCTGATAGGAAATACTTGAGTTCACAAGTAATCCAAGAGAAAATACTTGAGCTCACAAGCAACCCTAGCAAAAATTGGTCAAAATAGCAGAAATAACACAAAAATCTGGGTGAAATCAACCAAAAGATGATAGATTGCAATAGTGGAATCAAAACAAAACAAACACAAGCAAGCTACAATTGATCCTCAATTTGAGAGGAGGATCGTTCTCTCCCAATCTCTAGACAATGAGCCTAGAGCCCAAGACACCAAGGAACTCCAAGAGAATAACTCAAAACATGCATGCCCTAACCCTAGCCTCTCATGTTCTTTAAATACAATTCTTCCTAATAAAAAGCTTCATAACATAAACCAGTTTCAAATTTCCTTAAGCAATTTTTGCCTCTTACTCTTTCTAATTGTCTCCCAATGGGGGCCCACCATGCTTGGGCGGAATATTAAGGAGGCGGCTTCGCCCGCCTCCTATAAAACTGAATCGAACCCTTTTAGGCTCGTTTGGTTGGTTCGATTCAAGGGAGAACCGTAACAATACCCCCTCCCAAATAACCAGCATGTACTCAAGGTGAAAATCAAGAATCTGATGTTTCATCCTCTCATAAGGTTCCCATATGGCATCATAGTCCGGAAGGCTTTTCCACTTGATAAACACTTCTTTAGCTCCATCCTCCTTCTGGTGAACTCCATCAACTCTAAGGGTTCCATAATCACCTCTAAATCCTCAGTAAGTAACACCGATAACTCTGGGCTGGCTGTATAATCTCCAATAACCTTCTCAACTGAGATACATGAAAAATCAGATGTATAGTCACCGTCGTGGTAATTTCAGGCGGTAAGCTACCACTCCAATTTTCTCCAATATCTCATAAGGCCCAAAGTACCTTGGGGCAAGTTTCTTATTCCTCCTATTGGAGACTGTCTTTTGCATGTATGGTCGGAGCTTCAAGAACACCCTCTCCCTCACATCGAACTAGACATCCTTCATATATCCATCAGCTTGTTTCTTCATAATTTGTTGGACTCTCAGCAGATGTCTCTTTAACTCTTCTAATATTGTGTCCCTCTCCTCCAAGTACTCCTCCACTGAAGAAACAAGAGTACTGCTACTCCCAAAATACACCAGGTGAGGTTGATCTCTTCCATACAACACCTTGAATGAGGTAATCTGAAAAGCAGAATGATAAAAGGTGTTGTACCAGTACTCAACCTTGATAGCAACTTGTTGACCCTCATACTAGTGTCGGGGTCGAGTCGACCACACAAGGTGGGTTTTAAAAAAAAGAAAGAG